CCCCCCCCCCCAGGGACGTGGCTAGCTTGAGCTTGTCTGACTCAGGTGCCGCTGGGCCCGGGGGGGACACACGCATTGCTTTAACCTTTTTAATAAGCAGTCTTCACTTCTGGAACGATCGATAAAGAAATAAATATTTCACATCCAGCAACTGATACAAAAAAAAGTTGTGTATGACCTGAGCTGTCTGGAGCAGCCATATTGCACCCGCCTCTACTCCCTGTCCACATCGCACCCGCCTCATCTCCCTGTCCACATCACACCAGCCTCTCCTCCCTGTCCACATCACACCGCCTGTCCTCCCTGTCCACATCACACCCGCCTCTCCTCCCTGTCCACATCACACCCGCCTCTCCTCCATGTCCACATCACACCCGCCTGTCCTCCCTGTCCACATCTCACCCACCTCTCCTCCATGTCCACATCACACCCGCCTCTCCTCCCTGTCCACATCGCACCCGCCTCTCCTCCATGTCCACATCACACCCACCTCTCCTCCCTGTCCACATCGCACCCGCCTCTCCTCCCTGTCCACATCACACCCGCCTCTCCTCCATGTCCACATCGCCAGCGCCTCTCCTCTCTGATCGCACCCGCCTCTCCTCCCTGTCCCCATCACACCCGCCTCTCCTCCCTGTCAGCCACGTGGAGCCGCTCTAGACTCTCTCCACGGTCTTCATGTGGTCGCGGTAGAGAGTTTTAACTCAGGTGTGACCGCACCACGGCTACAGCATGAGCGACCCCACCCTCCGCCTGCGGGAGGGGCTCATTAGAGAATCTCAGGTAACAGGGGTTAGATGAGTGGCTGCTTTGTTCTCATCCTTAACGTTCGAGAAGGTCAGGGAAGATGCATAGCCGCCGGGTGGGCGAGAGCTTGGCTAAGAGGTGCTGTGTAGGAGCCACGGAGCCGGAAATGAAATCTCCTCTGATGAGTTCTCCAAGGGGTACTTGCCACACAAGGTCAAATGATTGTTCCAGTGTGTGTGTGTGTGTGTGTGTGTGTGTGTGTGTGTGTGTAGAAGGAGTAAACAGAGCCCCCATCATACTTGAATTCCTCAATCTTACATATTCTGCCCTTGCAGTGAATCACGCCGATTGGCAGACTGTTTATCCTCTCCTCACACAGGAGAGCACCTCTCGTGCATATAAATGTCAGGCTTCATCCCAACAAACCTATCATTGCCAAAGTGATTTTTTATCCCCCAGATCCCATATTTTATGTAGCCTTTTCAACGTATACTTTAAGTAAACAGGCTGTGAGGCTGACAGAATATCACCCGTGTCTTTTAGCTCAGAGGGAAAAGACCCAAGACGGCATTCCATCCTGGGCGTAGTTTGGCTGTATGCCCTAAGCTGAAACAGATAAGGTCCAAACCCACTGTGCTGTAACCCTATCAGGATAAGTGATTGGAATGTGGATGTATGGATGGATGGATGGATGGATGGAACTAACCAAAACTCAATTCCAGCTCAAGATGGCAAATGACATTTTGTTAAATATTTCAAAGAGGCTTATTAAATTGTTTTAGATTATCTTCAAAAATGCTAGTAAAATCTATTTATAAGAAACGTTGCAATTTAAAATAGGACCCATGTTGTGATGACCTAGCTCGATACCTTACAGGTCACACCTGTGTAACTTAGACACATGAGGTACATAAAAGCCAGAGTGAAACCATCCTCTAAGTGTCCATCATATCCAAAGCAGGGTGACGGTGACCCTGCAAGCCAGGCCACCCCAGCATAAACACAGCAGGTCATTTCGGGCCACCACTCAGCATGGGCTCAGTGACAAGGTAAAACTCATTAACTGTATATCCAGCGGCTGCAGTCAGACCCACAGCCCTGAAGGCATGAGACCGCAGCTCTAATCGCCAAGCCACAGTGCTTTGGGTCACCATTCTCTTACAGTTATTTTGGTACATATAAGTCGTATAAGGCTAAAGGAAAATGATGATTCACTACTCTGAAACATTAATTGCTATCTCCTTCTAGTTACAAATACTTTTTTTTCCACGGCTGAAAATTTACATTTACAATATTATTGTACATACTTTAGAGAAAAGATGAGATCTTATATCAGACTAGGTCATAGCACTGCTGAAACACATGCACAGTGCGGAATACTGAGTCTCTACACTTCTCTGTGAACGCTGTTGACTGTGTATTTTTAAAAATGTGACACCTATTTGTAATTCACAAATGCCTCAGTATTTTTTCTATTGATCGTTTATAGTTGATTTTCTTAGCAATTATTTTTTAACGATCCATGTTTTACTAATATGGTAATTATTTAATGTTTAAGTGCACTGTATATGATTAATATTCACTAACGGTGCATCCAAAATTGCATACTTGTTTGCTATGTAGTAGGCAAAATATAGTATGTCTGAATCCTCACTATGGATGAGACAGGAAGCGATTGGTTGCTTGCTAAGGAATTTGTGTTAAGATAGAGAAAGAAGTGTCATCTTTGTATAAATTTAAGTGAAAAGCAATATCCAGTTAGATACTGTAAGTTGACTTGAGTATGTATTAATATGTATGTTTTTCATTTTGGTAGCATTTTAATGGTTATTAACCTTCATTGGGGTCCAGCTACGTCATTGGTAAGCATCTATGTTAGACAGTATACTAGATGGGGACCACAGTGTGTCCGAAGGCATGCATACTGTTCTCATGCACACATACAGTATGTACTACATTAATGGTTGAGTGGTACGCTTCTGACGAAATTCAGTACTTGCTGTGTAAATATTTCGGGTATATCCTAACTCTTTTAGAAAGACTGTGCCCCACGTTCATACCCTCTCCATGTGGCATTAGCTGTTGTCTTTAATTACAAATCAAAGGCACCTGAACGGCACTATCAGGATTTGGGTGAATTAATCCGTCTCCGTGGCAAATGATCACCAGCCTTAGGCCTGCAGGTTACCCTATTAATGAAGGCCAGCTGAGACTTGTTAGCCTTGGCGTCTTGTCATTTAGAAGGTCATAGGGGGGACTTGTGAGAGGAGCAGAGGAAGATGGAATGATGAAAAAGGACTGGGGGCAATTGGCAGTGTTTTTGGTAAGGGCTATTTCAGCTTGTAGTTCTTATCTGCGCTGTCTCTGAAATATATATAAACTCTTTATTTTTTTCTTGCAATTCTGTGCCTTCATTCCATGCTGTGGTTGTCTTCTGCACTTTGACCTCTGCTCCAATGGTTTAAAGGGGTGTATAGGAACGCAGGAAGTCTGTGCCCAGACACTTTAACTATAAATTACTATTTGATGGTCCAGTTCATGTTGTCCTTTCACGCTGGTCTGGCCTTACTCTGCTGTGTTGTGTGATCAATAACAACCATCTTTTTAAAAAAATAAAAAGATACCTCGACGACTTTACGGGGCTTTGACTAAAATAGAAGCTTAGCCTGATCCTAATGTTCAGGGCTATATGCGTGTAATCCCAGCTCTGTTGCGTTTTCACCAATGTTGAAATGATTATCCTCCCCAAATGTCTCCACTGCTGCTTATCCACGGTTGTACTGAACCCTGAATGTAAGGTCCCTCAAATCAGCTTTTTAACACTTCATGAAAATGTTTTGCTATCGCGGCTCAGATGAATGTGACCCTTTGGTACTTCATTTGAAAGCCACGACGTCCATGAATGAGGTTCCCCTCTGTGTCTGCCCGACTTTTCCCACAGGGCTCTGGTGAGCCATTGCTGCACGACAAACTGGGTCCCCGGGGCAGAAATGCAGTAAACATGCGTGACGAAGCTTCATAAACCGCATTACGATACGAGGGCTTGGATGCCAATATTAACCTACAATTACAGTACTAACAGCCTGCTGGACCAGAGTGTAGCAGGAACAGGGAGGAACAAAGATGTACAGAACATGCCCTCCCAAATCTTTATTCTTGTCCAACAACATGGCAAACAAACCACACGTGCGCAGCCTCTGTGAGCCGTATCTCCTCAGGCCCAAACCCTTCTAAAGCAGTGCTTTTAGCTCTGATTTTCCCAAAGTTCTCTCCTGAGATGTGATCATGTGGCCCTCGTGTGCCACTTTGAGGTATGCAGGTGCACCCTCACTACCTCTTCTGGCCGTACCCCTTACCCTCTTCTGGTTTCATAATGTTCCCGGCAGTTTGCTTGCCTTAGAGGGCCATGGGTGAGGAACTGTCTTGGAAGCTGATTAGATGTGTCCCTTCAGGTGGCTGCTTTGATGGTTCCGTAACCCAGAGCAGCTCAGATGAAGGCTTTGGGCCTCCTAAAGGTATGTAGCCCTCAAATACGAGTCTGTTAGGGGACAGTGTGGGTGTGGTTGAGAGGGCCATGCATTAGCACAGTTGGTATGGCTTCACTCTGCTCAAGCTCTGGTTTTAATACCGGCCAGCATGATCCTGTTCATCTCTTCAGTGTGGGTTTGATCTGGTGTCCTCTGAACAGTGGTGTTAACAGTGGTGTGAATTGATGTTCCTTGGCTTAAAGCATATAAAATTAATGTGCATAAATCCTAGCTTATGATCAGCAGATCCTTAGAAAGCCATATGTGCCAGAAGCTTCATCTGTCAGGGCTGTTCAGGCGCAACCAAATTAAGCATGTAATTACAGAAAAATGTTCCTGAATTACACTACAATATAAAACAGTATGACCACCCATCGTGAACTCTTACCTGCGCTTAGACCAAATGGCACGACACTTAAATCAGCATGAGGTTTCTTTGTGTCGGCGAAGATTTTATTGTGGCATTTTCAAGCTCGTGGGGCACCTTTTCTGGAAAGGCGTCTGGGTGGAGACCTGTGACCTGAAAAGAGAGCCAAAGGTATGCGGGTCGCTTCTTGGGGATGAAAGCTGTACATATGAGTGTGTTGTGTCTGACAAAAGGCGTCGTGGTCTCTGCCTGCTGTGTAAGCAGTCCATGTGACGTTTTCCAGGAGTTATGCCACATAATGCCTTTGACTCTCATCAGGAAGATGACATTGCATTCATTTTAAAGTTTAATATGTTCATCGGTTTGATATGCAGCGGTAATTATGGTACATTACACAGCGATGCCTGGCAAGGCCGTCCTTCTCATTACCATGGAAATGACATCCTCTCAACTCCTGTTCATGGGCGACAAGCAGAACATGAATCTCAGAGGAACGTGGCTTTACAACCCAACCCCCCCCCGCCCCCTATGTTGACCTGGGCTTATGTCTACAGTTTATACCGAGCACCCCACCCCCCATATCTGCATGATGCTAGCCAGCCTGAAGGGGACATTGCACATGAGTCGATTACCGCCTTGGCTCTTTCAGCTGCTGTTCCCAATTAACCGCCCATTACTCGCTTGATCGGAGCACAGTGGTCCTCCTCGAGAGAAGGATTACACGCAGCCATGGGGACTCTGGAAGAGTCACGCGGCCCCCACCATCATGATAACCTTCAGTGGGATGCCCGTCGTTAATCTGATCACTGTCAAACGTACGGAATTGTGAGTCTATAAGGATTAATGTCACTTCATAACTCACAACTGAGTTAATGTTTCTGTAATGCTTTTAAAACGTCTCAGGTAAGGCCTTGAAGTGCCGCAAGACTTTTATTAGCTGAACAATGGGGGGGGGTATTTCCCTGAGAACAATGTTTTGTTAGTGATACAATACATTATATACAGCATCTGTCTTAGAGAATCATGGTCTGTTTTAATGTGCGCATTTGATCAAAGTAACAAGATTATAAAGTGAGCACTTTCTGTGTAGACTAGTCACATTTATTGGGGGATGCAGTCAATTTACTGCCAAATATGAAAATAATCATTGCAGTTTTGACAGCTCCTGTCAAACAGCCTGTCAGAAACTACAAGATGCACAGTGATACGGTGTTTACCTTCACCGAGCCTTAGATATGGAGAAATGGCTGCAGTTATAGATAATGGGCAAAGCAGAAGCTCCAGGGTTCTGAGGCCGTACCACAGGTTTGGGGGACAAGGGCAGGAACTGAGCAGGAACATGTGCTGGCAGAGGTAGATAGTTCAGGTCCTGAAAGTAAAAATCCAGACCAAGATTTAGTTTCAACCAAGTGGTTGAGAATAAAATCAGTCACAGAGTGGTTGGTTGAAACAAAATCTTAGTCTGGATTTTTACACTCTGGACATGGACTTTCTACTTCTGTGTAATGGTGTTCGGGGATTGTATCAGAAAAAAAACAGAACTTGCTACAAGTGGTTACACTAGTCCAGTGTCTATCAACTCTGTCCTCATTTTTGCTCCCTTCCAGCTCCCAGAAAGAAAAACGTGGACAGTCTGGCAGGGAACTGGGAGGGAGTGAAAATGTGGACCTCCTGGACGTACCTGAGGACGGGTTCATGAAACACTGCATCTATCATCTTTCGTAAAGTCAAACTCCTCACCCAAACTTATGTAACTGCCTGCATAGTCTCTGATTGGATGGAAGCCCTGTCTGATAAAATGAAATAGTCCTGCATCTATCTGATGGAAGAAAGTTGCCTCTAGGAAAGACCTCTGAAGAACAGTCATAAATATCATCAGCCAGAAGCATTATCACTAAAACATCTTAATGTGTTGGTGATTTTAACAATGAATTTTCTAAAAGGTACAGCTGGTAACATTAATTTTTAGGTGTTTTTGTTTTTTCCACAAAACCTCGCTGCTGTACAAGTTGATAACCCCTCTGAAGGATCATTTGTTTTGCAGAGCTCATTATGCAAGGGATATCTCTCACGTGCCAGGATGTCATGTCAAGACTGATTTCCATTCAAGGTTTAATCATCATCCATTCACTCGAATCGGTATGTTTATGGAGATCGGGTTTACTTTGGAAAGCCTGGCATCTGTTGCTGTTTGTCCAGCCTGGCACTGCACCCAAACACTGCTGACCGATGAGTGTCCTGTGTGGAACACAGGCTGATTACAGCTTCCTGTTGTGTTTGGTTTTGTTCTTTCACACACATCTGTGTTTGTTCCCAATGCTCCTCTGCTTTTTGTGCTCTCTCCCGTATAGCGACCTGAGAATAGACAGGTAGCCCGGACTCTTTCTCCACAAATTAAGGTTGTATGTTTTGAGGAGAAACAGTTTGAGTCAAGACATTTGGGCTCACAACCTCTGTGGTAAATGGAACTCAAAAACCAGTCATCATTAGTGCTTGAAGTGTGGGGACTGGTACTCACCATGTTATTCACTGCCGGTAATTATAAGACATGCCAGTATGCAAGAAATGTTCCCGGTGCTCTGGAGAAAAATAACAAAGGAGTAATGGTTCATAAAGGTGAGTACTGGCCCACTTCAAGCACCGGTCGTCGTTTTCGTTGGTTCATAAACATGACACCAGCAGCACCCACGGTTCTGGCACCGGTTGAAGGCCTCCGGTCCAGCAGATCGGCAATGTGGAGAAGCCAGTTGAGTTTTACAGGTGGCTTCACATTCTGGCAAAAAACCAAGAGGACATTTCCTTTAAAATTGCGAATAAAAAAAAAATTAGCACATAAATGAACAAATAAGCAAGTAAGAGTATCTGTTTTAGCAGATAAGACTGTGTGTCTGTGGCCTCCATTAACTTTAATATTCCATCTGAATCAGCGCGTGGAAATGCAGGGTCATCCTTCCTGCACACAGAACCCAGCTCTGGCGTCTTCCCTGCCCACAGCACAATAGCGCTCTTTGCCATGACATTAAATTGAATTTATATTCCGTTTAGACCATGAGGGATGTTTATATTATTCTAGTTGTCATTCATTTTTCATAGAAAAGATGAAGGCAATGAAGCTATTAAATTGTTGGGTATGGGGGGGGAATGGCCCGTCGTGTGGCGCGAGGGAGTGTCAGAGAACAATGACCATCAAACGGCCATCAAACGAGCAGCCGTGTTAATTATTTCCACTGCCTTTCTCGACTTCTGACTGGCTAGTGCTGCTGGGACAATTAAATTGCTCCAGAAAATCTTTTGCACCAGATACTTGAGCGTGGGGGGCTCTGCCCAGCTTCTGAATGCACCAATAGGCTAATAGTACAGAAATGTACCATGTGTCCTGTTTAGTCACGGCAGTTGACAACTTGATGGTGCACTGATACAATATTATAC